CAGCCAAAACAAATGGAGTAAGTATCCCTTGTTTCTTTACAGAAATTTTCCTTTTCTTTCTTTTTTTCTTTTTTGAAATGGAGTCTAAAGCTGGGCATAGTGATTCAAGCCTGTAATCCCAGCACTTAGGGAGGCTGAGGCTTATGGATTGCCTGAGCTCACAGGTTCAAGACCAGCCTGAGTCAGAGCAAGACCCTGTCTCTAAAAATAGCTGGGCATTGTGGCAGGCGCCTATAGTCCCAGGTACTTGGGAGGCTGAGGCAAGAGAACCACTTGAGCCCAAGAGTTTGATGTTGCTACGAGCTATGATGACATGGCAGCCAACATCTCCCTTAGGGAGATTAGGAAACTGAGGCTCAGGGAGCTTAAGAAGTTTAAATTTGGCCAGGCACAGTGGCTCACAACTATAATCCTAATTCTCTAGGAGGATTGTTTGAACTCTGGAGTGTTATTTTTTTTTTCTTTGAGACAGAGTCTCAACATGTCACCCTTGGTAGAGTGCCATGGCATCACAGCTCATAGCAACCTCAAAGTCTTAGGCTTATGCAATTCTCTTGCTTCAGCCTCCCAAGTAGCTGGGACTACAGATGCCTGCCACAATGCCCGGCCATTTTTGTTGTTGTTGTTGTTGTTGTAGTTTTCATTGTTGTTTAGCTGGCCAGGACTGGGTTTGAACTCACCAGCCTGAGTATATGTGGCCACCACCATAACCACTGTGCTATAGGCTCCAAGCCAGCTCAGGAGTTTAAGACCAGACTGAGCAAGCGCAAGACCCAGTCTCCACAAAAAAAAAAAAAGAAAGAAAGAAAGAAAAGGAAAAGAAGACTTAGCCAGCATTGTGGTAGGCATCTGTAGTCCCAACTACTTGGGAGCCTGAGGCAGGAGGATCCCTTGAACCCAGGAGTTTGAGGTTGCTGTGAGCTAGGCTGATGCCGTGGCACTCTAGCCTGGGCAATAGAGCGAGACTCTGTCTCAAAAAAAAAAAAAAAAGTTTAAATTCCTCGTCCAAATTCACATAGCTAGTATGTGGTGAGTTGTGAAGTCAGGTTGGTCTGGATAATAGCTGGGCTTGAGGACCAGTGTTTCCAGGTCTGTCCAGAGACCTTTGGTGTTGCCGCTGCTCTCACCGTGGCTTGAGACGTACCTCTCGGGAGACGTGTGTCCTTCAGCCACTTTAGTGTTGGACTTGGAGCTGCAGGCAACTCTGCAGCGGTAGCAGCAGGAGAACAGAACCTCTGGATGGACCCCTCCTGGGAAGTTTTGCTAATTTGTGGCAGCTAGACAATGTTTCTTATTAACATCTGTTAGCAGAATCATCAGATAATTTCACTGTAGTGGCAGGGATTCAGCTACGAATTCTCTATAGAAAACACCTGGATCCATCTTTCAATGGCTTCAAGACAACCAGAAGTACCTGCTCTTGAGCTTAGTGGGCCTCTAGGCAAGATGTCCCTGTCCATCAGGATATACCACGGGGCATTGAGCCGTGATGATGCCCTTGAGGACCCTACGCCCACGGCTCCTCCTCCATCAGACATGGGCAGCATGCCCTGGAAGCCAGTGATTCCTGAGCGCAAGTATCAGCACCTTGCCAAGGTGGAAGAAGAAGAGGCCAGTTTATCCTCGCCTGCTATGACTCTGTCATCAGCCACTGACAGTAATAAGGTCCCAGTGGTGAAGGCTAAAGCTACCCATGTCATCATGTATTCTCTGATCACAAAACAGACTCAGGAGAGCATTCAGCATTTTGAACAACAGGCAGGGCTGAGAGATGCTGGCTACACACCCCACAAGGGCCTCACCACTGAAGAGAGCAAGTACCTTCGAGTGGCAGAAGCACTGCACAGACTAAAGCTACAGAGTGGAGAGATAACAAAGACAGAGAAGCAGCTCGCATCAGCCCCGTCCACCCCAAGCAGCAACCTTCATTCTTCACCCAAGCATAGGCCCAGAGGCTGGTTCACTTCTGGTTCTTCCACAGCTTTACCTGGCCCAAATCCTAGCACCATGGATTTTGGAAGTAGGAATAAGGACAGAAACCCATCGATAAATGGAGCTTCTCCAGACCAAGATCCCTCCAGAAGTAGGATTCAGGAAGTTTTGCCATCCAGGCCTACTGAGGAGCCCAGAAACCTTCTCCAGTGGCCCTGACCGAGCCCAGGCCACTATGATGGCTGAGGATCCAGCAACCTTCAAGCTGCCCAAGATGGATGTCCCAGTGATGGAAAGGAAGAAACAACCCCACAGACCCATAATCTCAAACCCATGACTTGAATGTGCTCACACCCACTGGCTTCTAAAGCTCTCTGTCCCAGGGATTCTGGAGCCCCTCTTCCCTTTTGCCTTGGTTCTGACATAGAAAAGGTGTATTTTTTTAAAAAGCAAAACAAAAAAACCCCTCTTAAACTGAGGCTATACCTGAAGACATAACTGGTTTTTAAGAAAACCAATTAGTAGTGCAGAGTTTGCCCTTGTTGTGTGGAAGAAGCCATTTGTACTGCTTTAGAGTTAGATTAAATCTCAGGAGTTGTGTATGGAGACTTCAGGATCTATTTTTGTATTATTTACCCTAGACAAGACCTTGATCATTGCTTACTGAGGTAATTAATGTTTGTGCTGCTCTAAAAACGCAGGCTTCTTGATCCTTCTTTTACCACTGTCAATGTGAGCACTGACAAATCATGGCATAGAGGTACTCACTGACTAGTTTAGAAAACTTTAGGCCTCTTTTTTTTTTTTTTTTTTTTTTGAGACAGAGTCTCTCTTTATCACCCTCCATAGAGTGCGGTGACATCATAGCTTACCGCAACCTCCAACTCTTGGGCTCAAGCGATTCCCTTGTCTGCCTAGTAGCTGGGACTATAGGCGCACACCAAAATGCCCAGCACTGACTCAGGCTGGTCTCGAGCCTGTGAGCTCAGGCAAGCCACCTACCTCGGCCTCCCAACTGCTGGGATTATAGGCATGAGCCACCCGGCCCGGCCAACTTTAGGCCTGTTGACTGCTGGTGCTGTGTTCCAGCCTTATCAGGTAGGTGGGCCTAACATCTGTTTGAGACCTAAGTACAGTTAAAAACTAGACTTGGCAAGGACCTTTCTTTCCAGTTGAAACTGGAGTCATCTTGCATTTTGTTAGATCCAATAGATAATTTGTCCTACAGCCAGTTCTTCATGTGGTACCTATTGAGCCAAAGCTATTGGAGGAATGTTTTTTTTTTATGCCACAGAACAATCCCTAGTCTTGCATATGCATTCTTATACTTTACTGTGAGAGTAACTCCAATTTGGCTGAAAACTTTCTAAGGGAGAAAATTCAATCTACTGATTTGATACACGGATGTTAAGATGTTAACTACAGTTAGTCTTGAGTTCATGTGAAAGTAGTGTCACCTTATTTTAATTCCTCGTTCATCATCAGGTCGGAGGCTAAAACTTTTGGGGAGGGTAAAGATGGAGGAATTCAAAATTCTCTGTATGAAAGCATTTGTCACCAAAATGAGCCTCATACCTTTACGTAGTGTATACCTTACTGGGGAAAGGAAATAAGGATCCTGCCTTTTCATTTCTCCTCACTGTGTACATGTCCAGTCACTTTCTTGAGCACTGTCTCATGTGGATGTGGATAGTATTTTATCAGCACACAAGGAGCTGATCTTTCCATAGAGATGTCCTGGAGACTAAAATTATCAGAACAATTCATTTATTTGTGTCTTCTTTCTCTTATTTTGACAATAAAAATCCTTAAAAAATAAAAAGGTTGTGCTTGAGGCAATCCAACCCAGGGCCTCACCATGGGGCTGCCGTCCACGTTCTGCGGTGGGTGTGGGGAGGGCAGGGACCTCTGACTGCAGTGACCATCTAGACCTTCGGAGAAGCTGCTCTGTTCCCACGCCTGAGCACACTGCAGCAGCTGTTCCCTTCCCAGCCGCCAGCCTCTGGTCCATCTGAGGTTCACGAGACCTTCCCTTTCTCAGCCAGGACTAGCGACTGCTCATGCTCCCACGTTGGCCTTGGGTAAGTGGGGAGGGTGAGTGAAAGCCTTAACTAAAGGGGTGAGTCTTTGATGCTGAAAGTGCAGGCACCGAGTGAGGTAGAAAGGAAAGGGGAGAGACTCACTTGGGAAGGAGCTCCTGAGAACCCCTGAATCAGTCCTATGGGCAATCCCCTGGTGTGAGGAAAAGAGAAATTCACCACAGTGAGGACACATACACCCTGGTCAGGCAGGGCTGCAGAGCTGGTCACCCCCTGGGACCTGGGACTGCTCTAGAATCCCCCATGGGGCCTGAAGGGAAGGTTTAGGGTTGGGAGGCTGGGGCCCCTCTTCACCTGGCTGGACACTGTTAGACACCTGGGTTTGGCTGGGGCCAAAGGCAAGGCCTGAACTGTGCTGAGTACACAAAGTGTAAGAAGGCACTCACAGCTTCACATCTTAGGTGTTTCTTCTTGCCCCAGCCCATTGATCTTCGTAGGAGCTCAAGGCACCAGAGCAGCTACACTCACCTACTGTTGCCAGGGGCCAGGCCCCATTCCAAATATTACACACATGGGAATATCTAATATACCTATATTCTTATAATCACACACAGGTATGTTAGTATATATGTAACACATATATGCGTGTTGATTCAACTCTTAAAATGATCCTCATTTGACAGATAAGGAGACTGAGAGAACAATTAGAATAGTTAGCAAGTTTGCCCAGCTAATAACTCATACAGCTAAAATTGCCTCAGAGTCCACCCTCTTAACCACAATACAACACATGGCTATTGTACACACACACACACACACACACACACACATACAGGCATGCCAGAGGCCATCAGGTGCCTGCCCAGTTACCTTATCAGGACCCCTGCCCAGCAGATTGGCCACAGCTGTGCCTCTGCTCATGGCAGGCCCTGTGGGACAAAGAAGGTGGGTCACATGTGGACAGAAGCCCTTTTATAGCCCCACCACTCCAGTTGCCATTGTCTTCTGCCATCTGACCTGCCACTGCCACCCACACCTGCTGTCCTGCTCACCATGGAGAAGGTCCTGGTCCTTCTGCTCATCGCCCTCTCAGTGGCCTATGCAGCTCCTGATCCCCGGGGGATAATCATCAGCCTGGTAAGGGGATTGGGGGGCAGCCCCCAGGTAGAGATGATGTAAGCCTGGACCCAGACCTCTGATGTCACCACCTGGGCTGCCCAGGGACTGGAAGAAGCAGCATCTCACATCTCTTCCTTTACTGCCTACACCCTAGAAAAGGCTGATAAGCTCAGCACTCAGTGGGAACATGCTCAGGGCGGGGGTGAAGGTTGGAGGGGAGAGACATAGGCTCTGTCCTGGAAAGCCTGCACAAAGGATTCCAGCCTCTCACCTCCAGCAGCACCTTACTCACTGTGTGGCAGACACAGTGTGAATGTCTCACAACAACCACTGCAGGAGGAGGCATTATCATCAGCCCAGTCTTCAGAGGGAAGCTGTCTGAGGGCACACAGCTGGGAGTGGGTGAGCTGGGGGTGGTGCTCCCACTGCTGCCCCCACCAGCTCTCCATGAAGCCCAACTGGGAAGATCTATCTAGGCCACTCCCTAGGTTCAAAGGTTCTTAAGTCTTTTAACTCAGGGATGGGATAGGCTTGGAGGGTCTTGGACCCCCTTGAGATCCTATGGAAAAGTCTGATGGGGAGAGTCTTGCAGGGAGATGATCCTCTACTTTCACAGGCTCCTCAAAGGAATGCAGGATCTAGAGAGGTTTGGAAGCCTATTTGGGGTCACAGGTACACATTCCAGATAGGAACACTGAGGCCTGAGGTGGGGCAGTGGCTTGCCCAGGGTCACCCAGGGATTGGTAGTACAGCTGGTACTAGAGTTCAAGGGTCCAGACCCCCACCCATCCTGGGGCTATTGCTCTGTCACCCCATGCCTACTTCTCACATGGGTGGTGGGGCAGAGAGGCCATCAGACGCAGTGGATAGATTCCTTTGCACCCCCAACTCACCAGGGGAGGCACTGATATCAGTAATGAGTAGTGGGTGGAGGTCGGGGTGGAGAAGGGATGGGTTGGGGGGGGAGGTCCTGGTCTGACAGGCTGCCTTTGGCAGGATGAGGGTGAGCTCTGCCTGAATAGCGCCCAATGCAAGAGCAAGTGCTGTCACCGTACAAGTGGATTGAGCCTGGCCCGCTGTGCACCCAAGGCCAGTGAGAACAGCGAGTGCTCTGCCAAGGTGAGTGCTGAGGAGGTGGCATAGATGTGGAAGCGTGGGGAGGGATAGCTCAGAGGAGGAGGGCCCTCAAGGCTGGGTGCCAGGATCAGGGAGGAGGGCCAGTCTGGATGCCAAATGAGGGGTGAGAGGGCAGCAAAGCATTTTCCCATCCCATCATCTCTCTTGATTCCCACAGCTAAGCAATGAGATGGGTGGGGGCAGGGATTGTTATCCCCATTTCACAGATGAGCAGATAGAGGCTCCCCAGGGAGATCAAGCTAGTAAGAGCAAGTGAGCCAAAGTGGAGACTAGAACCTGGGTCAACCAGACACACAGCACCCCCAGGGAAGCTGTCAGGAAAGGAACTATCCAAAAAGACTGACCTGCTGGTTCTTGGGGTTAGGCAGAGGGCAAGTTTTACCCGAAGTGGGCTCTCATTGCCTGTGACTCTCCTGGCTGTGTCTCTGCAGACACTCTATGGGGTTTACTACAAGTGTCCCTGTGAGCGAGGCCTGACCTGCGAGGCGGACAAGACCATTGTTGGCGCCATCACCAACACCAACTTTGGCATCTGCCATGATGCTGGGCGCTCCAAGCAGTGAGACCACCCACCCACTCCTGCACCCAGCCCAGAACACTGCAGGATGCTAGACCTAGGGCCACCTCTCTCCTCCTCTGCCACCTCTCCCTGGCTGGCCACCTCCCTGACCAGCACCTCTGTTTCCTGATTAGGCTCTTGGCAATTAAAGCCCTCCTGCAAACCTCGACTAGCCTCCTGCATGTTATTTGCTGAGTCCGCATCCTCCTTGAAGTTACACCAAGCCTTTGCCCCACCAGGACAGGCTTCAAACAGGCCAGAAGAACCAGGATAGGAAGTGGCATTGGTGGTATAGTGGTGAGCATAGCTGCCTTCCAAGCAGTTGATCTGGGTTTGATTCCCGGCCAATGCACTGGGTTGACCTTTTGGCTCGGCGCCTGTGGCTCAAGTGGCTAAGGTGCTAGCCACGTACACCTGAGCTGGTGGGTTCGAATCTAGCCCAGGCCCACCAAACAACAGTGATGGCTGCAACCGAAAAATAGCCAGGCGTTGTGGCAGGCGCCTGTAATCCCAGCTACTCAGGAGGTAGAGGCAGGAGACTCGCTTGAGCCCAGGAGTGGGAGGTTGCTGTGAGCTGTGATGCCATGGCACTCTACCCAGGGAGACAGCTTGAGGCTCTGTCTCAAAAAAAAAAAAAAAAAAAAGAACCAGGATGGGTTTGGGGGTGGAACGGGGTGGCGGAACAGATTGGAGACAAGGTTGTGAAGGAGGACCAGCTAGGCCAAGAAGCTCTCTATTTCTGAGGAGCAGTCACACCTCCCTGGGATGCCCTCCTTGTCCCTCAAGTTCTGAGAGAGACAGGTAGGTGTGTGTGTGCACACCTATGCACCTCTAGTAAGGAATTATAACGGCTCATCGTCATTTCCCCGAATCATAATTTGCCATCCCCAGTGCTGGGCTCTTGGGCCCAACTCTTACAATGTAACAGCCCTGACACAGCCATGTCTGAAGGGGTCAGACCCCTAACAATTTCTGGGGGCCTACTCTGTGCCACAAAGTCCTCACAGTGACCCTGGGAGGGAGAGTTCATCTCCACTTTATAGATAAAGAGACTTACCGGCACTTTAGCTTCAGAAAGTTAAGGAACTTGTCTAGTATCCCAAATCAGAAAAAGTTGTCACTATACCTGTCTCACTCCATCCCTTCCCTTTCAAAGGTTCCCTATTCTTTCCCCCAGTTACTTACACTAAGAAAAATGGGTAGAAATTGTAAAGAATTTAATATAAAAATGTTGCGCCCTCTAGAGCTATCGAACATGAGCTACCTTAGGCAGTACTAAGGCCTAGCAAGGTATGCAAGTAGAAGTCTATGACCTGTTGATGGAGATTCCTACAGAGAGTGCGGGACAAAGGACCAAATGGTGTCCAGATATTCTCCCAACCCCGGGATTCTGCAGTTCTATGATCCATGAATCCCCTACTAACCACAGGCTTCTGAGTTAGGACTGCATTTGGTTACAAGCTGCAGAAAACTCAAGTAATTATGGTTGGAGCAAACAGGACTGATATTTCTCACAAATCAAAAAGTCTAGGCTGCCACCTGTGGCTCAACAGGTAGGGCATCAGCCCCATATACCGAGGGTGGTGGATTCAAATGTGGCCCCTGCCAAACTGCAACAAAAATAGCCAGGCATTGTGGCAGGCGCCTGTAGTTCCAGCTACTCCGGGGCCCTGAGGTAAGAGAATGGCCTAAGCCCAAGAGTTGGAGGTTGCTGTGACCTGTGACGCCACAGCACCCTATGGAGGGCGATAAAGTGAGCGACTCTGTCTCTAAAAAAAGAACTCTAGAGATAGGAAAAGCTGGCATTTGTCTGGTGGCTGGCAGCTCTGCAGTTCTGATCTTTCCTTCATGGTGCCAAATGCCTCAAGCAGCAGCTCCTGGCATGAACCCTTCTGCCACATTCTAAGGCAGGGAGCAGTAGAGTGTTTCCTTTGGTATACTTTCTTATCTTTCCCCACATCATCCAGGCAGACTTACTGTATTTTAATGGCTAGAATCAGGTCATCTGGCATCTCTACTGCACGGGAGGCTGGGAAAGCAAAGAGAATAGGATTGCCAAGACTGGCTTAAATCAGTCCTTCTCCTGGCACTGGGGACATTGCTGCCCACAGAATACTGGGATTCCGCTACCAGGGAAAGGGAGTGATGGCTGTTGGGAAATCAAGTACAGGGTCTGCCACTTATGAGTTAGCGCTTAACAGAGGTACTTTTCTTTTCTTTTTTTGAGACAGAACTCACTTTATCATGTAGGCTGGAGTGTAATGGAGGTATCAAAACTCACTGCAATCTCAAACTCCTGGACTCAGTAATCCTCCTGCTTCAGCCTAATGAGTAGCTGGAACTATAGGTGCACACTATGATGCCCAGCTAATTTTTCTATTTTTTGGAAGCACAGGGTCTCGCTTTTGCTTAGGCTGGTCTCTGATTTCTGAGCTCTAGGGATCTTCCTGCCTCAGCCTTCCAGTGTGCTAGGAGTAAGCAGGGCCAGAGGGCCTTTCCATACCTTAACCCAGTAGGGGGTTCAGGCCCTGCAGCAGGGGTGGGTCATATTTCTTGGTTGCCAGATTCAGGCCTGGGGGAAATCTGTGTTCCTGTTTTTGTATATCTCCTGAGTGACCACAGTGTGCCCAACACTGTGTTTTAGATTGTCAAGGACACAAGGAAAATGTCCCTGGTTTCCAAAAGTGAGTAGTGAGTTGGGTTCTGCAGAATCAAATGGCCAAGATCCCAACCACCTGCTCCCTTATGTTAACTCCTTTCTACTGCAAATAGCTAGAGTGATTCTTGTTATTCCATGCTGATTCTACTGTAAGTCTGCCTAGAAAAAGGGAGCATTGTGTTATTATTATGGCTGTTGTACAAAAGCACCTTCCTCTCACTAAGCCTTGAGCCCAGAGTTACCTTTTTCTAAGGCACATAAAAATGTGCTGTAGGCTATAGCTCTGCCACTACACTTTCCACGTTAACATCCTAATCCCAGGAGTTCCCCAGTCTTGGCCTAACTTTTTTCTTTCTAGATCTGCTAGATATTCAGCTACAGAAGCAGGGGTATTTGTAGCCTCCAATCCATAAAAAATTCCTAATGCTGGACCCTGTAGACCCACACTGTCTGCTATGCTGGTGTGGTAGCTATTCACTATCCCCATGTGGCTGTTGAGCAATTGAAATGTAGCAGACCTGAACTGAGATAAATGTAAAATACAAACTTAATTTGGAAGACTTATTACCAAGAAAAAGGTAAAATATTTTAAATATTTTTATGTGTTAAAATGATATTATTGAGTTGTAAACAAAATAAATTATCAACATTGACTCCACCTGTTTCTTTTTACTTTTACTTTTTTAGCATGGCTATTAGAAAATTTAAAATAACAATTGTAGCTTGCATTTTTTTTTTTTTTGGAGGCAGAATCTCTCTGTGTCGCCCTTGGTAGAATGCTGTGGCATCACAGCTCACAGCAACCTCAAACTCTTGGGCTTAAGTGATTCCCTTGCCTCAGCCTCCCATGTAGCTGGGACTACAGGTGCCTGCCACAATGCCCGGCTCTTTTTTGGTTGCAGTTGTCATTGTTGTTTAGCAGGCCTGGGCCGGACTCAAACCTGCCAACTTTGATGTATGTGGCTGGGGCCCTACTCACTGAGCTACAGGCACCAAGCCATCTTGCATTTTTTTTTCCACTCCCTATTTTGTTGACAAGATCAGTGTGAGAATCTCAAGTTCAGAAGAACATCTAAGGAACTTGACTCCTTGATGACTGTTTTTTTTTTTTTTTTGGTTGTAGTTGTCATTGTTGTTTGGCAGGCTTGGGCCGGATTCGAACCCACCAGATCCAGTATATGTGGCTGGCGCCCTAGCTGCTTGAACTACAGGCACCAAGCAAAATGTTTTAGTGTGATGTAATCCCACCTGTTTATTTTGCTTTTGTTGCCTGTGCTTTTGGTGTCCTATCCACAAAATCATTGCCAAGACCAACGTCATGTAGTCTTTCTCTTGTTTTCTTCTAGGAGTTTTATGGTTTCAGGTTGTACGTTTAGATCTTTAAGCCATTTTGAGTTAATTTTTGTGTACAGTATAAGGTGAATCCAATTTCATCTTTTGCATGCGAGTATTTCCAAACACTATTTATTAAAGAGATGATCTTTTCCCCATGTGTCTTCTTGGTGCCCTTGTCAAAAATCAGTTGACTGAATAGGCTTGGGTTTATTAACTAATTAATTCATTTATTGAGACAGAGTCTCACTTTTTGCCTCCCAATAGAGTGCTCTGGTGTCATAGCTCACAGCAACCTCTAACTCTTGGGCTCAAGCGATTCTCTTGCCTTAGCCTCCCAAGTAGCTGGCACTACAAGTGCCTGCCAATGCCCAGCTATCTTTAGAGACAGGTTCTTGCTCTAGCTCAGGCTGGTCTCAAATCTGTGAGCTCAGACAATCTGCCCACCTGGGTCTCCCAAAGTGCTGGCATTATAGGCTTGAGCCACTGCACCAGCCCTTGGGTTTATTTTTGGGCTTTCTATTCTCCCCACCCCCTTATAACTTCTTAAGACATTGGGCCAGGCACAGTGGTGCTATAGTCCCAGCTACTTGAAAAGCTAAGGTGGGAAGTTTGATTGAGACTAGCCTGAGCCACACAGACAAAGAAACAATCCTCTCTCTAAACACTGAGTATCCTTGGAGCAGGTTTCCAGCCTATCTCCTCTCCTAGCAAGGTTGTTTCATGGACTTTCTCTGAGTAGGGGGAGTTCACAACACTATGGAAGTCCAGTTGTCTGTCTGATACATTTCATACAGGATAACGTATTCCACCAACGTATTCCACTCTACACAGGTTTGTTGTAACTTACTAGGAGGTGCACTCACATGTTCTAGAGCTGCCAGGAGCAGCTCTAGATGCCTTACACACCTTTGCTTGTTTTTCCTTTTTTCCTTTTTTTTTTTTAAAGAGGCAGGATCTCACTCGATTGTGCAGGCTGAAGTGCAGTGGCATGCTCATAGCTCACTGCAGCCTCGAACTCCTCTGGGCTCAAGTGACCCTCCCACCTCAGCATTCCAGGTAGCGAGGGCCACAGGTGAACACCAACATGTCTGGTTAATTTTTTAATTTCTTGTGGAATCAGAACCTTGCTACATTGCTTAGGCTGGTCTCGAACTCCTGACCTGAAGTGGTCC